TGAAGAAAACAACCCAAATACCTTCCCCTCCCTTCTCCTTACACACTGATGCACAAATTCACACTCTATCACATTCTTAACCTTGAAACTTTGTGGACTTCTCCTCTGACATTAGGTTTGTAAGAATCATCTACTGTTCCCCACAGTCGTTGCTATACTAAGGTACTTAGCATCTCCATAAGGGCTTATAAGTGTATCAGTACCGTATTGGGAAAAGTATACGTACAGGTATACAACAGCACAACTTGTGACGTTAGTAACATAGCTTTATTATCTACCATCAAGTATAGCACTGTGGTTGGTTTTGAGACTATTCCATGAATGTCTCATATCGGTCAGGTGCAGTGAATTTCACTGACAGTCTCCAGTTTTGAAAGGTTCTTGTACTTCAGGGTGAAGGTTGGTTGCAGCTTGCTGTCAGTTTTCCAGGTTTCTGGCTTCCTTATGGAAGCTGTAGCCAACAAGGCAGTGTAATACACAATACCTCCTGCTGTGACAAATCTGAGTTTACATATGAGGTTGTTTTACTTCAATTGAAAATATCCCCATTATCACATTATGTGAACGTAGACTTGACTCAGTTCCAGGTGTTGCAAATGTGCGATGGTAAAGTACAGCTTTGCTGAAAAGCATCTTTATGCTGAATGCATTTTTACCTCTTACTTACCTCTTTTAATTGTTTCTTTTGTGTAAACTCAATGTGAAGGCCTACTTCAGATTTTTTTGGCTACTCGGTAGTATCAGTAGTATTCTATTTCCCATCCCTCATTATCCGACTCCTGCAACGTTTTGGTTTAGTCTTTTCTATGAAACAAAACAAAAACAAAACAAAAAATAAAACAAAACAAAAGCTTAACATTTCAGTTCATACAAGTAGTTTCTACATTTACACGTAGATCTTCACACTGTTTTTAACACTTAGCACAAAGGTGTTTTCATCGCTTATAGCTATGCTTTTATGGAGCTAACATTTGGATATAATAATATTTTATATATCCAAATATATATATATTATATATAATTATAATTATAATTATTATTATATATAAGGTTATTATATATGCTATATGGAGCTAACATTTGGAATAATTAAATACATAATTAGTTAAACCTTAATTATTAGGCAAGCATAAGTATTCTCTAATACTTAAGAAGGCTACTTTTCTTCACTATTACTTGTTTTCTAGTTCAATAATAACATTTCACTATTCTTTAGTCTCTCTCAAAGTTTCACATACACACTTAACCCACAGTTCTCTCAACATATAACTCTGTAAGAACTGGTAGCACTTGATTTATATCCTCTTTATTTCAGCCCTTTTACCTTCTTGATAGCCTAAGACTCTTCCTGTTTTTATATGTGCTTTGCTTACAAAGTTAAATGAAAAAAACAGAGCTGATATCAATATATTACTGGGTCTGGTTACATTATGCTCTTACATTTTAGCAGTACTTCAAAACTCAATTAACATTAATAAAACCATTTAACTGATAAAATTCTTCAGTTACATTCACGTCTTATTTGAGCCTGAAGCATTATGGTTATGTTTATTGTTTTTCTTGCTTTATTAATTTGAGGCTTCTGCTGCTTCCTCCAACATCTCCAGTCATTGTACTCTCACAGTGGGTGCTGGCCATTTATGCTATAGGCATTTTTCCTGCTTTGCAAACACATTTTTGTTTCTACTGTCTCTTCACATTTTTGTTATTAACATCTGTAGCAGGACAGCACGTCTTAGCAATCATTCTTCCTGAAGCTTCTCTGATTTCTTCTATTTGAATATTCAGCTTCTCTCTTTTCTTTCTAAATCTTGGAGTACCCCATTTGTCTACATTCTTTCCATAAGAGTAGGCCTTCTTAATTGCACCATGTACAGCCTGGATGAGATTAACTCAAGTTTTGCATTACACTGACAGATGTGTTAGTACCCAGCAGGATATCAGGAGTCTTTATATCACAATCACCTTTACAATGACAAATTTACTTCAGTTCTTCACTTTGCTACCTGCCTTCTGCTACACTTTAAGGGCACTGTAGATTCACATGGGCAAATGTATCAGTTTATATGATATCTAATTCACACCGTTCACACTCTTAAGTTCTTTATGCAAGGGTTTTGGTTTTACTGCTCCTTTAGATTTTACAATCTCTTGATCATATCTGGAGATGGTTTTATTCTCAGTAGGTGCACACAGACACATATACACAGGGCTGAACAACAATAGATTGACATGGACAGAACAGTTGCATTTACAAGCACGCCATGCACACAAGTCATGCTAACACATGCATAAGCAGTATGAATGGCCTGGTCCCACTTCTTTCTTGCCAGTTAATCAGCCACAAAGCTTGGCAGTGGATTTTAAACACTCTCACAAAGAATCTCTCTCTGATATCTTAAGCACTTTTCAGTTCCAGTTCTGAAATCAAGATGAGAGATGCCATTGGTACCTGCGCATAATCCATTGGGCATTGTGAAACAACCATTAGCCTTAATTTGTCACATAACAAGCCCAGCTTGCTGGTTAAAAATGTTTTGCATCCAGCTACATTAGGGAGCATGTTGCATCATTTAGCAATTCTGTTATGGTTACGGTCCAGGAAGTTTGCTTATCATCATCACATATGAATTCCTTCAGCTTCTTCAGGTTAAAGAGCAGTTTGTTGAGTAGGGTCCAGACTCTGCTTGGCCACGTGAGCTCTCTCTCCTTTTGCTTTGCTACCTTCAAACCAACTAGCTCAGTTCTCCAAGCCAGGAGCTCCTATATGAGTCCCTGGTTACCTCATGGCTAACTGTTTCCTCTTCAGATTGCAGACATGAGATGTAACTGATTTAAAAGACCAGAGTTTGTTGGTTCAGTAACATGCAACTAAAGCCTCATAATTCAGTGATCCAAAATTAATAAATACATCATATTAAATGATAGTTTTATAGTTCTTCACCTGATTACAGACAAGAATAAAGTTACTGATCATTACTTTTCAGTCTCACAAATCACATACATATGCCATTAAAAAACAACTCCTTCACTCTTCCCTCCCCATATTGCTTACTACAGGGCACAACTCTATCCTTCTTCACACTGCTGTCTTACACTACACAGCATCCTTGACCTTGAATTGTTTTAATTACTCTCTTGGTTTTCTGAATAGCCTGTAGCTAGTAAAGAGAGCTAGTGTCCCAGGAGGACTTGTTTACAACCTGTGATACTGAAATCAGGGAGATAACCACCAATTTTAAACAACAAAGTAAAGAAACATTATCTTACAGTCTGGGTGTTAATACAGTTTTATAGAGATGCAAAGATCACACTATAAACATAACTCCATTTCTGTTGGAATAGCGAAGTTGGTACAAAGTATTTCTAAAGCAGTGTCTGTAGTGGTTTGCAATAATATTTAAAAAAGAAGGAAGCAGCTAAAGAAGGAGCTTTTTATGGAAAGAAGTCCTTTGTGTCTCATGGCACGGCATTTGAAAAGGTTCCAGTTTCACTAATCATCTCTTCTAACAAAAGAATGTAAGAATATTAGCAACTCAGTCCATGCCTGAAGATGTTTGGTTTTTCAATCCTCATTACTGAAACATTAGCATTTTTCTCCCTTGATACCTTCAAAGAGAGAAAGTTGTCTTGGTTTTGTTTAAAGTGGATTGTGGCAGAAAGAGAGCAAGCACCAGTAAAATTTGTAGAAATGTGTATTAAAAAAAAAAAAAAAGAAAAAAAAAGAATTGCACCTAAATCTCAGATTCATTTTTTATTCATGAGATCATACTTCAACAATAATTATTTGTACTGTATGGTTTCCTCCCTACAAAATATATACATTTGTATTTAAAAGTATCCATAGTAGATGTGCCACTTCATTTAGAGTGCCTGTTTTTCCCCATGTGGATCTAATTTGCATTGGGAAGACAAATAGAAAATTCAAATACTCAGGAAGGCTGGTACTTGTTGAGATGCACTGTGTGTTGCATTTCTTTTCCCTTCTTGCCAAGTCCATTTTCCTGTGGTTGTATCTTCAGACCTTTAAACTCAGAACTTAATGTGAAGAGTTTATTGGTTTCCAGGTAGTGGTCTGAGGCTCAACCACTGCAGGTGTGTGGCTAAGAGGTGTTAATTGGATGATGGATGCACAAAAATCGGAAACACAACTCAACAGTAAAATCAAATTAAAGCAGACTCCTGCTGGTCACAGCGGGTTTTGTATCAGACCCTGTGGAAATTCAGAAAATACTACATATTGCAACAAATCTGAAAACCCCCAGGTTCCCTGATTCTTCTGTTCACATAAATACCAAATGAGTTTTCTTTTCCTGATATAGTTCTGTTCTGCTGAACTGCAACTTCTAGTAATACAAAGTCAGAACAACTAGTGATGTCTAAAAACTAAAAGAAAAAATCATAGAAAGAATAGCTAACTGCTAAAGAGAATAATAGGTTATTTTTTTACAAGGGTACCTGAGAAATATCTAACTTCAAAAGTTTACTTGATTTTACCCTTAAACACATTTGTTTAAGAAACTTCTAGCAAGAACAGCTTGGAAGTCAGTGCAAAAGGTAACGTTATTGCATATGGAGGCCAGTGTTTCTCCAGCCTGGATGTGACTAGATACATACAGTGAAATCATAACAAAACCAGCAATTTGTTTGTTTGTTTATTTCTGCTATTACCTTGAAGTACCTGGTTTACTTGCACTCCAAAGGAGACACTTTATTCTGTTTAGCAATGCAGGCAGGTACCTGGCTATTCAGAAACAAGGTGATGGCCTTATGAAAAGTAGCTAAAAAAAGTTTTGAGGCTTGTACAACTTTCACAGAGAATCTTAACATCAAAGTAAAATAAGTCCTAAGGGTGGAGACCGAGTGGAAAAGCAGAATGGTTGACCTCTATTGCTGTCTAAGGCTGAGGCAGAAGCAGTTCTGTAAAATCATCAAAGACAATGTTATGGGCAGTTTTGATATCTGCAGCAATAAATAAGCACCGTGGTTTATGCTTTCAGAATATGAAATTGAGAGATCATTTTTCCTGAGAATGAAATGTGTCCTAGCCAAGAGGAATGCAGGATTGACATGCAGTGGCTACAAGGTAACGTGCACGAGTTTTTACTTTCTCATATACAAGAGACAAGTTCGTTTAATGAGCTTGGTTTTAACTACATGTAGCTGAAAGCAAAGTCTTTGATGGAAAGAATCAGATCAGATGCAAAAGTGCTGATGCAGATTCACTCAGTAATGTAGTTCCAGACCCTCACCGAATGAACTGGGATTTGTTCTGTTGCACAGTTCCATATTTCAAACCCCTGAAGTTCCAGATTGGGGTCTAGAGAACCTCTTGCACCTCTTGCTCATGAGGTGCAAAGAGAATACACATTCAGGTCTTGTTCCCTTATGGAAGCAGAGAAAGATGGGGCAGGATTCTATACACAGGAAGTTGAAAGTCTCCCCACATCCCTCTGCCTTGATCTTACTGTGCTTTTTCTGAGCAGCCACCAATCACATGGGTCACTTACTGACCTGACTGGAATCGCCTCAATATTCAAGAGACCGTAATGTTGCCATAAATAATCACTGATATCAACTCAGGGTTTGAGCTCTACTAACCTATGAGGATTGTTTTCAAATCCCGCTGCTTGTATTAATCATATCTTTATTACATGAAACCAGAAAGACACAGCATACAGCATATACTGAAATTCTACAGTAACATATGCCATACAAGTAGTTCTTATTTTCATCTTTGCAGTACATATTCACTGCTCTTTGAGCTGTACAGTAAAATTTTATCACCTAAATATCAGGAGAGATGGATATTTCACATATACCCTGGTGAGGATCTGTTTCACTTCAGTCATTCAAAAACAAAAAGGAAAGCATGCAAGAAAAGCAGATCTCATTTAAGGAAGACATTCAAGGTCCAGGCATTTATCAGCTTATTTACATTGTTATCTACCTGCCTGCACTGATTTATATGAGCCCTTGTTTGCTCGGTTTCTTCCTAAGTAAAATCATTCTGTTTCAAAGCGGAATCTGAAATCAGATAAAAACGTCAAGATTTTAGTTGTGATATCTCTGTATGGTTTCCTTTTTTCCATGTATGGCTGGTGACTAGAGGAATCACAGTCTGTCTCTTTTTCTTCATTATCACAAATTTGCACATTGAAGAATGTAAGGATGTATTCATTTAGAGGGGTGTCAGCTTAAATTTATTCTCTCTGACTGTACGTAGAGTCAAAATTTAATACTATTGAACATATTATATGAATAGCTTAAGTGCAGGAGAAGTTCAGTAATGAAATAGTGTGAGAATCAGTAGGATCTGCAGGAAGATCTTAAATAAGTTTTGATATTGCTTATCGGAGGTGAGGAAGGAGGTTATACTGGGGGAACCTATTTATAGGTAATAGTTCAGTGAGTTGTTCAGAGTTCTAAATACACTGGAAATGAATTCCTTTACCCTGGATGCATTGAATAGTGAATCAAATAACGAAATTAAGCTGAAGGATGTGTATAGAGTATTTCTGATTCCCCTCAAAGCCCAGACAAGTGTCCTGCCTGCTGTTTGAAGTAGAAAATTGGCAGGAGCAAAAATAATTTCTAGACAGTAACAATAAATTAAATAAATTTTATCTTGCAGAAGAGTACCCCATTTTTTTTATTATTTCTCCCTCTCTTTGGCTGACCTTGTGTAGTATTAAAGGCTAACACTGAAATTATCATTCCTATGATTAGGAATTGCATATAGTAATTCAGGAATCTGGTCTCAAGACCCTGGGTTTGGTCAAAAGAATGTCACCTGAACTTGACTGAAAAGTTCATTTAAAAGGTCATTTAAAACTCATTTCCAGTGCATTTGCACAGATAACCTCTGGTCTTTACAGATGTGATACATTAATTTCCATTGTATACATATACGCGTATGCCAGAGAATTGGAGTGATTTAAAATAGCACCTTCCATATTTTTGATTAACAAACAAGAAATTAATATCAAAGGATGTTTAAAATTAAAACTAGAAAGCAGTGTAGATAATCATTAAGAGCACATGTTGTAATACTGGATTAATCATGTTATGTGAAAATACAAAAACTGCATTTACTGTGTTTTAATCTCCATTTATAAATTAACCACAATTCTGAAGCCTTAACAGACTGTGGAGTAATTGTGCTGTAAGGGTGCATTGCCTTACAACCTCACTGAAGCTGGGTGGACAGTTGACTTTCAGCCTCTTCCTTTGTCATCAGATATTGACTGTGTTTTCTTCTCATGCCAGGTCATCCACTGCAGTGGCTATTTGAAGATAAGGCAGTATATGCTTGATATGTCTTTGTATGATTCCTGTTACCAAATTGTTGGACTCGTGGCTGTAGGTCAATCTTTACCTCCCAGTGCAATCACTGAGATCAAACTTCATAGTAACATGTTTATGTTCAGAGCAAGTTTGGACTTGAAGTTAATATTCCTAGATTCCAGGTAAGCAGCTATTTCATTTCGAGCATAAAATGTTTTCAAAGTCAAAAGTTCTAAGTTACAGTAGTTTCTTTTTGGGGGGTTGAACTCGTTGATTTCTAGAGGGTCCTTCCAACTCTTACAATTCTGTGATTGTTTGATTCTGAACAAATCAGAATTGCCATGAGAAAGTAAAGCACTACAAAGTTATCTGGAAGACAAAGACCATGCGGGTCTTCAAAGCCTTTTGGGTAAATGGACAGTCCATATTTTGTCTTGAATGCCAACATAAAAGAGTGTGTATACTTTAACTGATAGCTACATACCTTTTCAGAGAGTCAATTAAAGTCTTGCTGTGATTAATATGTAGACAAGCAGTAAAAATTTTTACTTTAAAGGACATAAATATTAATAAGCAAACCTAGTTAAAGTAATATGTATGCACCATCATCTGTAATTTAAATGTCAGCAACAAAAATGTTGAAATCAAATTGACTTGCCAGGGTCATCAAGAGCTTTTGCCAAAGTAGTAAGAAAACAGAATATTCTACATTCTAGTTTAATGCCTTAACAATGAAGCCAACTGTACTAACTGTGGTTACTGGAGTGAAAATAAATTTCATTGGATAGTACATGAAAACACAGCCTTTCTGAAGAAAACTTGGGAAAATGGCTATTGTTTAGGAAAGAGAATCTGCTCTCGGTAGACATAACGGCTGAAAAGGGGAGAGCAGAAAACCAGAACTAAAGTAATTGTGAAATGACTCACTCATCTTTTTTGAAAATATAGTATCTTTTACTATACAATGACCCTTTGTACAGTACAGTTCAAGATACCTTGAGGGAAAAAGTCCAATTCCCAGACAGTGTAACCAATTTGACCACTGACAAGACAACCATTCTTTAACAATCCCTACATATAGAGCATTATGTCACATACTCTCTCATTTCCCTGACATTCTGGATTTGTAAGAAGCAGAAATTATATATATGTGTAAAAGTAAAAAAGACTCTGTATCCAAGACTGGGGAAGTTTTTCATGGCAGGGCAACCATGGAAGAACATGTTCTTTTTCCATGTTAAGTCAATGAGATAGTGGGACATCAGCTGCTAAAATACAAAGAACTGGTTGTTTCTGCATTTTTTTCTTGGCATGCTTTACTTAGTGTAACAGTTACAAAGAAGTACAAAGAGTTCAGCAACATGTCTTTGCATGTGGAAAAAGGAAAATGATGTGCCTAAGAGGAACTGCCTGAAGGTATTAGTGTCTTCAAAGGAGACAGCATAGCCAGAGGTGTTGACAGGAGCAGAGAAATAACCAGTACTGTTGCATAGCTGTATTTATCAAAGAGCAAATGGGTATCATCCATACACATAACTGTGTATGGACGGTTAGGAGTATTAAACACTACTAGAGCCCTTTGCTTTCCCAGCTGAGCAAACCAAATTATTTTTTTCTCAGACTAGGAGTGTACTAGGAATAAGACAAAACTGGTTTCAAGTTTTCTTCTGGTATCTGTGCAAGAAAAAGAATTGCTAGATCTTTAGCTGTAAGTCATTGAGCAGACAGGCGAGTGTTATAGCCGCAAAAAGAAACAGGCAAGTCTTTCTGGATACTCAGTACAACATAAAACGTGCAATAGATAATTTGTCAAGGTAACTGAAAAAAGAAGACAGTTTTTTTTCTCCTTTAGAGAGATATGTAGCTTCTGATTTTGGTGATGCAACCATTTTTTTTTTTTTTTAAATTGCCATATACTTTACAAGGCTTTAAGGTACTCTAGAAGGAAGATCATTAGGCCAAGCTCCGTTTCTTTCTGTTTATGCTTTGTCACACACAACAACCCTCAGAGCCCAAGCTCCCTACAGTGACTTTCTGATGGGTTGTTTTTGCATTAAGGAAGTTAAGCGGTTCATTTATAGACTCAAAGATTTTGAAAGTTTGGGTGTTCCTATAAATCTTAAAATTCTTTGGCGCATATGAAGACCAAATTCAAAGTAAGGCTGCACTTCCAGAAAAATTCACACCTGGCTTGAGTTTGTGGCTTTTTGTTTGTTTGTATTTGGATTAACTGTCTCTGTACTCACCAACTAAGTAAGAAGGATGAGCTGCCACCCTCAGAAAATTGCAGAAAATTCAGAAGGGACGTGGAAATCTAAACAGGACCTTATACCAGCTATTTTACTATGCTGATAGGCTTAAGCAAGAATTTGGGCCCCCAGAATTGTAAGCTAGTAAGGACAGGGCACATTGGAGAAGAGAAGCACGTGAATATGTTCACATAGAGTCTTATGGAAACAGATCACAAGTGCTCATTCTGTGTTGGCAAATCCTGAGGCAAGACATTGCCAGATGAAGGTATAGCTTCATTTCTCCCATATAGCTATAGGAGATTGAAATGCTTTAGTTATGAATTAGACCATGAAGGCATGGGGCCTTTTTTGTTTGTTTATTTGGTTGGTTGGTTACTACTTTTTTGTTTTCTGATTTCCTTCAGAAGAATCCCACTGTGTCTCAAATAGACTGTAAATCTCTGTGCAGTTCATGTGATTACTTAGTGTTAGAGCAAGAGTAAATAAGATGCACAGTAGTTATAAATAAATAAATGAAAGAAAGAAAGAAAGAAAAGGAAGTTTGCATGATCTGCAACCCTCAGTGACACGTGTTGCTTGAGATCTCTGCATTCCTTTCTGTAGATGCTACTGTGTCAGTCCTTGATATAGAATTTATCCACACTAGTATTTTAGTTCAAACCGGAAGCATCCTTTTGAAGCAAAGGTCCCCACCATTTCCACTCACTGCACAGCAGTTCATGTCATGAAGATGCGTTAGGCATGTTAACTGGGTGAATTTCAGATGAGACTAAATTAGAAGAATACCTCCAGGAACACGTGTAGGGCACCCCAACTGCTACAAAGCTTTCAGTTAGAGTTAGTCACAAGAAAATGTCCCAAAATTAAGATATTCAAGCTCCATATCCTCAGCTCTAACCATTTTACTCTACAGATCACTTGCCAATGGACTGCATTGCTTATTCATGTATAGCACCTTTGCATAGCACCTCTTGTCTGCTATAGATGCTTTAGATGAAGAAAGCCCACGACAGCATAAAAAAAAAACCCAGCAACACTTGGCACACCAACAAAATTATGGCCAAGTTGCACAATGTACTTTAAGTTTTTTCTTCTCAAGGAACAGTACTAAATAAATAAAGTCCATTTTGAATCATAAAGTTTGGCTTCCCAGGTGACTTGCGGGTGTGGCCTCATATAGGTCTGGGCAGGGTAGCCTCATTCTTTAACATGTGCAGAAATGCAGCTGTCTCAAACCCTTTCATTTTTCTTCCACTTCTTGTCATGTGAGGAAGTTTTTCTGAAATCTAGCTTCAGCTTTCCTTTTCTTAGCTTGTGATCTTCATAGCTCCCGTCTTCCTACATTTTCAGCTGGAATAAGCTGTTTCCTTCTTCTGTTAGTCATTAACTGGAATTTATTTATAGACTTGATCACAGTCTCTATGGAGAGACATACATGCTACACTTGTATGTTTGCAAAAGCGAATGAAAATTTGTCAGTGGTGTACAAGAGTAGTTTTATTGTTTCGTGACTAGCTCCTCAACTGGATCTTTGTATAAACGATCATGCAGGGCAGTGGCAAAAGCCCAAAGCTGAAATAAGAACTCTTTTTCCTGTGTATGTGTAAGGCTGGCCAGGGAATAACTGCACCTTGCTTTGGCTGGGTTGAGAGGGTTTATTTTCTTATAAAGATGAGGATTCTGTTTCCAAAACTAATATTTTGTCCCACCATTTTTAGGTACCTGACTTGCTGGCACAATTAAATGCTAGGTTTGTAAAACTGAATATTCCTGGAGATTTTGCTTAATATGGAATCTTCCTTTTCTAGAGTGACTGAATTAACTGGATATGAACCCCAAGATCTGATAGAAAAAACCCTCTATCACCATGTTCATGGCTGTGATGTGTTCCATTTACGATATGCTCATCATCTGTGTAAGTAATAAGAATGGTAGACTGAAACTTATTTAGTAGAGTGAGAAGTTTTGCAGGCAACAGGCACTACATTGGAAAAAAAAAAAAAAAGAAATCTTTCAAAACCTTGACTGGAGATAGATTTTCTTAAGTGCTTGGCTATCACTTAAGGAAACCATTACTTCTGCAAGTAAGCTAAATACTCAATATGCCGTGCTTCTGAAAATAATATGAATCTGGCTACTTTTATCTTTGACTTAAAGGATCTGAGCTCTTTTGAAAATGTGGACTTGATTCTGGGTGGTGAACTCCTAAAGGGAAAAAAAAAAAAAAAATACAAAAGAGCAACTGAGTGAGCAAGAGGGGAAAATCTGGACTTTACTAGTCTCTGTTAGAAGAAAAATTATGCAACAGCTCCCCATTCCTCTGAAACATGTTTATAATAAACAGCCCATGTTTGAAGTGAATGTAAACCCCCAAAATCCTAAAATTAATGTTCATTAGTAGCTTGTGGGTGAGGTTTGGAGAATGGAGTGTCAGGGGAAAAAAAAGCATGTTTAATAATCCCCCATCTGCAAACCGAGAAGCTAATCATATCTTCAAACATCTGGACTTGGGAAGTAGTTCATTCAGTAGCGCATTAATTTGAGAAGCAAATTGAGGGAATAGCTGAAATCTGGATTTGGCTCACTCTGCTGCAACCCATACAATGCAAAGATGAAATCCAAAAAACAATTATTAGTGAACTTTTCTCCAGATTGTTCCTGTGGACTGAAAGCAGTTGGAGTCAAATCCTTCTTTAGGCTTACTGAGGTTGGTTCTTCACCTTACTTTGGGCCGTTCATGAGGATTTGGAAAATAAAGGAGGATGTAATTGTATTTGGCACAAATCTGTGCTGAACTTCCAAGTACTGGATTCTATTGACAGCAGAGTATGCTACAGAAAGCAGAAGCTGACCTTTGTAGGAAGTTAATATTTGCCATAATGTTACTGAAGATTTTGCTTTACGACCTAAAAACTAGAATGACCAGGGCATGATTGATTGATTTAGTGGAGCGTTGTTAGAGTTAGGGTACTACGCTGAGGTTGAGGTTGGACTTGATGATCTTGAAGGTCTTTTCCAATCTGAGAGATTCTATGATTCTGTGCTGCAGTGTGTAATGATCTCCTCCACATTCACTGGGGGCATCCACTGGGTTAGTAGTGCTAACTTCTGCACCTGGTGGTGAATGTTGACCTATACAAAATCATACTTTATTGTCACAACTGTTAAAAAATACCTATGTCAAGTATTATATAGATGCTTCCAATTAGCTGCAATCATCTCTGGACAGCAGTTTGTCCATTTGAGAGCAGAGTCATGGATAGCTCTGTGTGCACTGCAGACTTGTAGCTTGATTACTAGTTTGACCTGTATATGACTGGTGTTCTAAATAGGGACACATTATGTTTATTCAATTACTCAAAAACCACAACCAAACCACACACAAAGAAAAAAAAAAACCAAAAACATTATTAACCAAACAGAATAACTAAAAGCAGTTCTTTAGCTACTCTACCAGAATTACAAAGATAAGTTATTGAAAAGTTTAAAATCAAAAGAAAAATATGAAATATGTAAACATGAAAATATGTACATAGAAATTCATGAAATTTTCAAAGAAGCTACATACCAAGAAGCAAAAAGAAAAAAAAAAAAAAAAAAAGCTTGGTCAACAGTGGGAACAGTGTAGAATCATTGTCAAAATACTAAGTAATAGGAATTATTAAAACAGATGTAAAGTGTACAAACTTTCTCTGGGGAGCACTGTTATAACTCCCCCACCATCCATCAGCAAAAATGTCTGAGGAACATGAGCAGTAAAACTCTGGCAGGTTTGACGTATCATTCAATAAAACAATCTGATGATTAAGTGTCATCTGATGAAGAAATCTGGAGAGAAACGTCTTACACCTAATAAGGGTATTAAGAGGAGAAGAAAAAAAAAAAAAAAAAAAAGAAAGAGGAAAGAAGAAAAGCAATGTAAAGCAGTGTAACCAATTGCTCTTTCTAAGAGGGGAAAAAACAACAATCCTGAACTGGAGACCTGAAGCTTGTGAACTTTAAGTTAAGGTAGCACAGAGAACAAAACAGAGGAATCTGAGAGGAACAAGTTAGAAGTGTAACAAGAACAACAGACTATGAGGAAAATGTACATGTGAATATTTGCCTCAGGTTTGCTGACAGCAAAAAACGTTTCTTGTTTTAAACATTTGATTTTCTTCCAGCTCTATGAAAAAGATTCTGATGTTTGAAACAGTGTTATTTATTTCTATAGCACCATCAATATGCACAGTGTTTTCTCTGCAACTGGGGAAATGTGGCCACACAAATAATGAGTCCTTGCCTTTTAGAATCTTGCATTCTAGTAGGCAGGATAGAAAAGCTGTTCTAGTACAGGCAAAATATTCCTCTATTCCAGTATAGAAGATACTTTTCTGGCTTTGGAGAAATCCTTTCATTTCTACCATCATCTTTTTGTGAAGAAGACTTTGAGCATCCCACATGTTTTAGCATCATTGCTCTTTGCACCTTGTAGTTTTGTACAAGGGTCACATCTTTGCCTTGGAAAAGCCGTAGCCCCAGCTGATGTCATGCCCAAACTGATTTGCTGTTTCCCACAAGTTATGCATTTATAGAACCTATCTGGTGGAAGAACACAGTTTACTGTCCATGGCATTGCCTTTGCTATTGCTTCCACAGTAATCAGACCTTTTGGCAGAACTGCACTAGTTTTTAAGAGAGCAAAAGAACTAGGGCACCATCCCCTGACCACACTGCTCAAGAGCTGGACTGCTGACATACAAGGCTGTGTGTGCCAGGGACACTAAAACAATAACTGCTCTCAGCATGGAACCAAGAATTTCATTTCTCTTAGTGATATCTTGAAGTGTAGGCTGGCAACTCCCAGCCATATGCCTATGAGCCTGCTGGAGCCTTTTAAAATAGACATCTGTGATAGACCAAAAGGGGAGCCCAGCCAGCCCAATGCCTTTTTCAGCTTGCCTGGTGAATGAGGAGAGAACCACAACAGAGGAACACCCAGCTACAAATTGCACATGTCAGAGCCAAGGGTAAAGCCACTGAATCCTTCCCATCCCATTGCAGTGGAGGCCACCAAGAAGTCTGAAGATTTTATTGGTAGTGGATTTACCTCACTCCCATTTCTGAGGTTTCCCAATCAGCATCAAATAAGGATAATTTAACAAAGAGTCAAATGGAAATTAACCTTATTTTCTGTATTGGAAGCACGGCTACTGTCTTTTAGTCAAGGTCAGACTTTCCCCAGATTGCTAAAAATGCAGTAGACACAGAGTCCTCCCCCTGTCCCAGGAGAAATACTGTTTTATCCATGTAATTAGGAAGAAAAGTGGAACACTGCAGTACTCGGTGGTTTTTACATCTTTTACAGTCCTGTCTTAACTGGAGAGCTAAAACAGGGATTTAAAAAAAAAATAAAAAGGCATTTGAAAGAAAGAAAGGTCAGAACTGATCCCAAAGCATCTGGATGAACTTCATGATAGCTAGCAAAACATCAGACCATTAGATTCCGTTTTGAAGGATGGAGGCCACATTAGAAAAATTATGTTAAATGATCTGGGCAAAAATATAAGCCCCTTTTTCTAGAACTGTAAAATTTGGAATACAGAACCACAAGAAACATTGCGATTTCAAGGCACAGTATTGGTTATTAACAAATATTTTTAGAACAGGCTTCTGTGGCATTGTTACACTGACTGCTGAGTAGCAAGCGCAACACGTTTATCTTTGTGAGATACATTGCACTTAAACAGGATATACGTCTATATATTTTGTGGGTTTGTTTATAAACTTGCATACATTTTCCCCATTATTTTTTTCAATATCTGTGCATATGCACCCTCTATCACCCTCCACCTGAGTATTCTGCGTAGAAATGCAGGCATGAGAAAGAACATCTGCAAGTATGAGGTAAAATCTCGTATATAGAAACTTCAAACTCTAGACAGCAGTAGTTTGTTGTTAGCAGAGATTGGTTTTTGAATGTCCTGCAAGATGTTTTTATTTATCTTCTTGATTTCTGAACAAACGGGTGCCATATCCTACAATTCAACCCTGTGCTGAAGGACTTGGGGATCCTGATGAATGATAAGCTGCACTTGAGCTGGTAGCGTGCCCTTACAGCCTGGAAGGACAACAGTATCCTGGGCAACATCAAAAGAGCAATGGACAGCAGGAAGGGGATAGGAACTGTCTCCACTGCTCTGCCCTTGTGAGAACCTGACTGGAGAACTGTGTCAAGACCTGGGGTCCCGAGCACAAGAAAGATGTGGAGCTGTTGGGTTGGGCCACAAAGATGATCAGAGGGCTGGAGCATCATTCTGATGAGGACAGGCTGAGGGAACTGGGCTTGTTTAGCTTGGAGAAGAGAAGGCACTGGGGAGGTCTTGGTTCCTTGAAGGGATTTTATAAGCAGGAGGAGGATCGACTTTTTACATGGTCAGATAGTGATAAGACAAGGAGGAGTGGCTTTAAACTGAAAGGGGAGATTCAGGTTAGATTTTAGAAAGAAATTTCTTGCTGAAGCGACAGTGAGACGCTGGCACAGCTGCCCAGAGAAGCTGTGGTGCTCCATCCCTCGAGGCCAGGTTGGATGGGGCCCTGGGCAGCCTGAGCTGGTGGGGAGCAGCCCTGCCCATGGCACAGCTTAGAACTTAGAACTTTAAGGTCCCCTCCAACCCAATCCATTCTGTGATTCTGTGAAATGATTCTATGACAATGGAAGAAGAACTAATGTTTCCAGAAAGATCTGTCTATAAAAATTAAGAGCTTGATTTTCTTAGGGGGATTTTCTGGATTTGATGAAAAGTCTAATTATGCTCTATCTTCTGCTGAGAGCAAACTGTCCAGAGAGAGCACCCATATGCAACAGACTTAAAGGGCTTTTTACCAAGAAGAAATCTTGCTTCTGTTTGTCAGTCTTCCGTGGGGCTATTTATTATCCACATTATTGCAATCTCTAATTAGTATTGAAGTTACAGATGTACACTCTCCCAAGTAAGAAGTGAACAAAAAAAAAAAGCCAACTCCAGTGATGACTGATAGCCATATGATTCAGTAGCAAATAAAACAAATAAAAAATGATCACACACTTCACTTTTTTTGTTCTTGGCTTAATACTGGATGCCCTCTCTGTCAGAAGAATCTTATATGAATGCTAATTAAGTCTGTATATTTTTATTTCAAGTAATTGTTTGCTCTAGTAGAGTTGGCTGAAAAAGGAAACTGCTGGTTTTTAGGCTTATTATATATCTGCTTCTTCACCAAGCTCATATCCTGAGAGCACAAAAGTAGACTCAGGTTTGATAAAGAGTTCAGTGTAATACAAACTCTACATTTGTAAGCAGTAACTTGATTCCTTTGTCATGTATTATACAAAGCTACAAGGAATTTCTGCTATTAATCTTTTTTTAAAAAGATCATTTTTTTCTTGCAATAGTTTGAGTGTCAAGACTATTTTCTAATTTAAAGTGAACGATTGCATGGGAGAGCGAGAAGATGGGGTTTCCTTTTAGAATACTTTAGGTTTTCACAAGAGAAAAAGAACAGTTGAAGGCTGCTAACTATCTTCTGGTGAATCATAAGATAAATGCCTGGCAATGAACCAGAGACATTTGTGGGTAAATTAAATATTTAGAGATGCCACACAACTCTTATTCTAGCATAGCCTTATGTAAAAATGTTCTTGTTCATAGAGCGTTCAGGTTGTTTAGAGGATTACATTTTTAGTGAAATCTATCTGATAACTGATTTATCCCTCTGGCCCCACCTTCCTTTGCGTGTTTAAGAACTGAAGAGCATTTTAATTTTGCTCTTTAGAGTTAACCTTTGAAATGTAGAGCTCACAGAGAAAGAAGGGTCATAGCAACATAGCATAAAATACACAGCAAAATACACAATTATCTTTCAAGCAATGAATACGGAAAGTTCTTCCAAATACACTAGAATGTTGTGTCCACTTGAAATACTTCTGCTGACTTGAACTTCTTCTTTTCAGCCAGAGGATTAGAAACAGAAAACGCTTTTGCATAAGCGGGGAAAAAAGTAGGGTGAACTGGAGAAGAATGGAAAACAAACTTAAATAATTCACAACATGCTATTTGTAAACAGCAATGTGACACCGTGAAACTATATAAAGGAGTAGGGTAGACGCTTGTGCAAATAAGTTATTTGAAGTTCTGTGGGAGAAGGAAGTCTAAGAGAGGATGAGGAGGAAGAGAAGTCCCTCCCTTGCAAATAAATCTCTCCAGGGAATCTCTAGGTCTAACTCCAAGCAATGTGAAATGCTTTTTTTTTGTATTTTACTCACAGTGTTGGTGAAAGGCCAAGTAACAACCAAGTACTATCGACTACTGTCCAAACAAGGAGGCTGGGTTTGGGTACAGAGCTACGCTACTATTGTCCATAACAGCCGTTCATCACGGCCTCACTGCATAGTGAGTGTCAATTATGTCCTTACGTAAGTCAAAATACTTTGTACCATTACCTGTTACCGGTAATTGATTCATTACTTAAATCCTTTAAGTTTGTTTTACTTGTGTCTTCCGTTATCATTTTGTGTTTGCATGCTTCAGCCACTGTGCTCTCCTGATATCCTCCCTGTTTTAGTTATAAAAGCTTATTGAGCTAAAAAAAAAAAAGCTTGTATTTATGATGACTGTTTCATATACTGCATGTTTGAGTGCATAGTACCACTGGTAGCTATTTGTGTTAGGTCTGGATCCCAGTTCTGCAACTATTGTCAGAACAACAGTGGTGCTATCCCAACAACAGTGCTCCTTAGCAGAGATCGCAGTGTCAGTTCATGAGACAGTAGATAGTAGAAAATGTTACTCCTCTAAGGGATAGGTGGATAACCAAGGATTCCCTCACTTGCGCTGAACAGATATACACAATGACAAACAGCTCCCACTGAGCTTGTGAATGTGCAATGTTTTGGGCCTGCTATTTCTGATTTCTGGTTCAAGCCACAAAGGTATTACAAAACTCTTATCATGATATAAGCCTAAGAGAGACAGAAATCCACATGGGATAAGTGGGATAAGTAATAGTGAAATAGACTGTGCCTGAAAAAAACTATCTGTTAAAAAAAAAAAAAAAGATTGTGGGCACCATTGGATTGAACAACAGTGGAAGAAGGCAAGGAACTACACACTCTTTTGTCTAGGTTTGTTCATTTCTTAACTTGCATCAGAGTAAATTGTGTTTGCATGACATGTGAGGTGGGGTCATTTGTGTTTGTGTATTATAATTCTGTATCTATTACTTGGTCTTGAAGAGTTGAAGCATAAGAGCTAGCAACCACAGTGTATTACCTTAACCTGCCTAAAATAGGTATTCAACCCTGATAGATACACTGGGCAGTACTACACTCATTCCTGTACTGCTGTGAGATAACAGCACCAAGGAGATACTCAGTCCCACAGCCAGCATGAGTTCCAGGAGCTGGGGCACTGATTGAGGAAACTGTGCCAGGGTCATAAGAGCATAATCTTGAGTTGAATTTACTTCCACGTTATTCACCAAGAAGCGATAGAAATTAATTCTAGGTAGGAACTGAGAGAGAAGTAGGTTTTCCTCTAGTTTTCCTTTCACAAATATACTCCATTGTTTCTACTGACAAAAACAGAGAAGACAACTTACTCATCAAAAATATATTAATTTATGTTTCAGTAGATGATTCACAGCTTGCTCTTGTTTTGCTTTTTATCCTCTTTTGTACAGAAGTCTGCCCTGTATATAGAACAAATGAAACTGAACACAACAGTGGAGAAATTAAATTCTAGAGACTGTCAGAAAAACAGCATTGCATTTGCTCTGGTCTAGCTACAAGGGTACTGTGCTGTTGGGAACGGAACACTGCTCTTTTGCCTCTCCTCAGAGCAAGCTGAGAGAACAGGGAAGAGACCAGCTCCTGACTGAGGAGACAGATTAATTGATCCATGTCTTCCTATCAGCTGACGTGGTTATGATTCCAAAATACAGAGTACCACAGATGGCTGAGAACAATAATTTCAGAGAGCAGGGACATCTAGTGCAAAGATGTCAACTCTGTTAACCCAGCAGAATGTTTGTGATAGACTCCCATGAAAACAGTCAGACTGTAAAATTTACTGCTTGCCAGCATCCTCAGCTGAGCAGACTCAGTGAAAATCTTAGAAGAATGAAAACATCGTGAATGCTAATACGTATTTTCAAATGAGCTATTTTATATTTGTGGTATGTCTGAATATGCAATTTATTGGTCTGTTCTTTTGCAGAGATATTGAGTATAAGGAGCTTCAGTTGTCACTGGACCAGGTTACCATTTCTAAGTCACAGTTTTCATGCAGAAACTCAGTATCTACCTCGCAGGAAACAAGGAAAATAGTAAAACCCAAAAGTAACAAAATGAAGGCAAAACTCAGAACAACGCCTTATCCACAACAGGTAACTTTCTTGGCAATATTTACCTGCAGTTATTGTGGTAGAGTCCTTGAGCCAGGATAGAGATCCTCTGTAGGTGAACTTACTGTACAACTGACTACAGTATGCTCTTCTGCAGGAACTCCCTTGTAGGCCAGCATACAATGCGAACCTTTTGTTCTTGGGGTGGACAGCACAAGCAGTACAAAACAACACTGGCAAGCTGGCAAACAGAAAGACTTTTGGATTTGGAGGATATAAAGTCCTTAAAAAACCCAACATGTTTTCTTGGTTAAAAAAAAAAAAAAGAAAGGAAAGCAATGTATTAAGGACAGTTGTAGGGTAGAACGCATCTCGTTCACTGTTGATGCGCAGATTTTTTAATGTCACAAAGATACTGGCAGTTTCCTTTTGCCAGAGAAGGCTTCATAAAAAGGAGTCCTAGAAAACACACAATTGGGATGGGATTTGGGATATCTGTCACTGTCTCTGGGTGAGTTAGAACTAGATGGGAAGGGAAACAGTGAAGATCATGAAACAGGGTTGGTGAAACTGATACTAAACATGAGACATTCTAAGGCTTCGCTGAGAGGGACTACTATTATCTTATAAAAGTACCGAATGAAGCTAGCGCGTACACTTCAGTCAAAACATATTCATGGTATGTAACTCCATTAATCAGTAACTTCCTGTGCTTTGCAGCAAATTCATGCTCTCTGTTATTTGCAACTGCCTACATTTACTAGCTAAAATCCAACTGGCAAAATTATCAAATAAAACCTTAACATTAGGATGTCAAAATTGTTCTTTGTTTCTGTGTTAAGTGAAGGTAAACCACAGTGAAGATAAAGAATTTTAAATGCATGGCAAGCCAGTCCTCTTAGCCAGTGAGATTGCAGTTCAAGGAGGCCCAGCTTTGGGTGCCTTTATGACATGTTATGCTGTTTCATATTAAAGTTAGTCATTTAACTCTCTCCCCCTCATTTTTTTTCTTTCCCCCAGCAATACAGCTCATTCCAAACAGACAAACTGGAATGCAGCCAGGTGGGAAACTGGCGATCCAGCCCTGCAGTGAACGCTGCCACCATTCAAGAACAAAACTTTCATTCAGAAAACAGTGAACTTTTATATGCCCCGTCATATAGCTTGCCTTTCTCTTACCATTATGGACACTTCCCTGTAGACTCTCATGTCTTCAGCAGCAAAAAGCAAATGCTGCCTCCTAAGTTTGGGCAATCTCAAGGCAATCCTTGTGAAGTGGCTCGATTTTTCTTGAGTACGCTGCAGACAAATGGAGAATGCCAGTGGCATTACGCCAACTCCTTGGTATCCAACAGCCAGTCACCATCCAAAAATCTTCCTGAGCAGCCAGTGAACATCATCCGACATAATCTTGGACAGAGTTATGAAGGTGGGTGTCGCTTTAAGAAAAAAAGGAAAAGAAAAGCTCTGGAATGTCTGGGAAATATTTGTAAATGTAATTTGAAAATAGGAAATACAAGATGGTTAGGAAATGTAGAAAATCACAAACATGGAAACATAACATCTAGTATGCTTATAGTATTTACATGTTTATCCTGTTTACCATAAGAACTTAATTTGGTGTATTAGGAGGGAAGGGCTGCCATCCAGAGGGACTTTGACAGGCTTGAAAGGTGTTCTCATGGAAAACACATGAAGTTCAACAAGGCCAAGGTCCTGCACTTGAGCTGGAGCAAATTCAAGATGGTTGAGCATGGCATGGATTGAGAGCAGGCCTGAGGAGAAGGACCTGGGGCTGTTAGGAAGCTCAAGGTGAGCTGACATTGTGCACCTGCAGCCCAGAAAGCCAATCATACCTGGCCTGTATTAAAAGAAGAGTGGCCAGGAGATGGAGAAAGGGGATTTTCTTCTTCTTCTCTCGTGGCATACTGTATTCGGCTCTGGGGACTCCAATGGTTCTGTTGGAGAGGGTCCGGGGAAGACAGTGAGGATGATCAGAGGGCTGGAGCAGCTCTCTTTTAAGAAAATCTGACACAGCTGGACTTGTTGAGCTCAAAGAGAAGGCTCTGGTGAGACCTTACTGGGACTTTTGGTATCTAAAGGGAATCTACAGGAAAGCTGGAGAGGGACTTTGTCAGGGAGTGTAGTGATAGGACAAGGGGTAATTGTTTTGAACTTAAAGAGAATAGAGTATGGGGTAGCACGGTTAGTTTGCAGTTGGAATTGATGATCTTTAAGGTCTTTTTCAATGTGACCAATTCTATGATTCTATGATTTAGATTCAGTATTAGAAAGAAATTCTTTACTCAAAGGGCACTGAGGTAGTGGCACAAGCTGAGAAGAGGTGCTGTGGATGCGCTGTATCTGGAAGTTTTCAAGGCCAAGATAGATGAGGCCCTGGGCAGCCCTATCTGGTGGCTAGGGGACAGAGCCATTCTGTGATTCCATGGTTCTATTATCAAAGCATCAAAAAAAATGCAATCACCAGAATCACTTTTAGAACATGGTAGTGATACTACCTCCTTTAACACTGGCATAGTTTGTCTCCACGTTTTGCTGTCAGAAACAAATGCACTTCAGTCCACATACAGAAATTAAAATAAACACAATCCATTTCCATAAAAATTGAAGGTTGTTCTTTCTGAATACGAAGCCAATCTGAATGTCTTTACCTTTCAGTCACCACAGGGAATGAGTGAATGAAATGCACTCTCTACCTGCTTGATTTAAAATGTCTTCAATGGTCCTGCCTGATCACCTGCATCATCTCTCCATACAGACTGTCAGCTTAAATACTTTGAAGGAAACACTGAAAACACTGACATCTGAGATGCCAACCAATAAGAAATAACCATGCACAGCTATAAATGATTTGAACAGGCTAAAGATACACTCTAATCTTTAGATCTCATTCTCATTACACCTATCTGCGTACACTGTTTTGGTTATTTAAAAGTCACTGGACTGATTGACATAAAATTATAAGTTAGAAAAGTTTCTTTCTTCTAACTTCCTTATGGACAGGATGGAGGAAGTAGTAGATTTATTCACATGAGGATAAATCATTAGATATCCCAGATCTGAAGGGTACATCCGCTGATGTTAAAATATGAACGTGTAACATAAAACAGAAGATGGTATCAGATACTGAAAGTGTCTCCCACAGAGTAACTTCTGTCCAGGATTTTGTCCTTTGAAGGACCATCTAATGTCCCTTAGCTGACAGTAGCATTTCACTGTCTTGCATTTAGGTTGAAAATGAATGATAATTAAGATTTCCTTACAGTACAGAGAGGTTAAATCTTTTTTTTTTTTTTTTTTTTTTTTCTGAGCCCAGGCTCCTCTACTGTGCTGACTTCCTTTTGCTGGTGTTGTGGGCTGGGTGTGATAAAGAGTAGCTTTGAACTAGAAGAGATGTTTTAGAAATGTTTTTGCCCTATCTGAAGGTGTTGTATCTTTGTGGACAAGAAAGAAGGATAAGTACAAGGTTCAAAGCCAATTACCCCCAGCGAGTCTTCAGGAACAAAGCTGTCCCTGTGTACTGAAGCCCAGCTTTTCATCTCTGCTTCCAGACTAATAGGGGCAGTGTGACTGGCTGAGATAGCAGATCCACCCCTTTGCTGATCTGATACACTGCTAATGGATATGGAAAGAACAGCCTGTTTAGGAAACAGTCTGTAAAACTGACTGTTCAATAACTGACTGGCTGCCATAAAATTTGCCAGAAAAGCCCATTGAGCATAGAAGCAGACAAGCGATTTACCATTGGTTGGGTGATGTGGGCAGACAACTCCCATTACATACGTGAAGCCAGAAGGATTCCACAGGAATACTGTTAAATCTGTTTAGAGAAAAAAAAAATTCCCAACAAATCAATGCAAGGAACTGCTGGCTTTTTTTAGTTTCATCACGCATGCCTAGCTGCACCATCTCTTCATGACCAGAAAAACAGAGCTCTGATACCTGCAGTTCTTGTGATATCACTTCTATTTCTACTTTTGTTGCTTAAGTTGGAATATGCGAGTTTTCTTTTGAGCAGAGATTTACTTTACTTTAACGGGTGCTTAGCTATTAAGGAATTGAGGAAAAGTGACTTGATATGACTAATTCTCTGCAAGATCCCTCATACTTTTGCTGTTTAGAAGGGAAAAAAGATTACAGTCAACTCAATCCTGGTGAGAGATCACTACTGGAGTTCACAGGCAGCATTAGGAAAGGGAAGAAAAAAACAACCTCTGTTGCACACAGAGGATTTATCTCTAGTTGTTCTGGGCTTTAACTCATTCTAAGGAAGAATTAGTCCTGTTGTACTTTTGCTGAGGCTGCTGGCAAATGAGAAATCTGAACTTTTGGAAGCAGCTTTTGCTTTGAGTTAAAAGGGGCATCTGATCTTCCTTACATTGTCAACTATTGCTTTTTCCAGTGGTTCACTGACGAACTGACAGCTAGTAAGCTTCAAAGCAGAGAGGATCTGCTTAGCATCATTATCTTCAATTCAAAGGCAATGCCAAATATGACATCTGGCAACCGGGCTGGATGCTAGGTCTATTACACATCACATCCACAGAGGCATCTGCCAAAAATACCATAGGCGAGAGACATCTTTTACTATGGAAAATAGTGTCTTTTGGAGAGATCAGAGATTTTAAGATGATTATGCCAAGCCATCAAAGCCCTGGAAAAGCACGTAGCAGATAAAACCGTCTGCAAATCAGATGCTGCTGCCTCAGAATCTGGTTTTGAAACTTCTTCCACTTTATTCCAGCTGGTCTACTCATCAGAAAAGAGAATCTCTTCAGAGAAATCAACCATCTTTGTAGTCAGGGATGTTTCCTTTGTACACTTCCATGGTTACACTGCTACTGTGGTACAGAGTATCCACACTTCACTTAAGTCATGCTGTTAGCCAGTCTGTACCACTCACGTGAAGCTTAGCATCACGTTGAACTGTCAGGAGTATAGTTTTCTGAGATCAACGTAGCTCAGAAAGCCCAAGAAAAATTATGCAAGACAATTATGCATGAAGAGACCTTCATCTGTGATGTAAAAACTGACAAGGTTTTCTGAAGTTTGGATTCAAAGCTGCCTGGACCACGCACCAAGTGTAGGAAGGTCTATTCTACGTACTGGTCTTTCTTCGTTGATTCAAAGATGTCTTTTTGTCATTTCTTATGGGCAATGAGAAAACAAGGAGCGGCTCTACATCTTAACTGACTCTGACACTTCTTGTCAGACAAAGGCATGTTTATGAATGGAATATCTTTTCTGAGAGCATCTTTCCCATACTGAACACCAACAGGACTTTAACGGCACTATGTGAAAGTCAGGAGGGAACACTCCTCACTACAGCACCAGGTTAAACAGGATGAAAACTACTCCTGTATACTGCAACTATGCATACATATTATATGTTTTACAGACTAGTTTCTTCTAGAGTAACCTTGCTTGTTGTCATCTGGGTGGTTGGATGCTGAACTCTCAGCAGGCTGGCAGGGAAGGTGAGCTCTTATCACCAAATAGACAATAGTCTATAGTCAATAACTGACTGTCTGCCATAAAACTTGCCAGAAAAGCCCATTGAGCATGCTGCACCCAATGCACAAGTGGGAAAGCAGGGCTGCTTGGTGAGAATTAGCAGTGACATGATGCCTGATGGACAGAGCTCACTGCTGCAATTGTCAGTTGCTATGAATGGAGGTGGTGTAAGCATGTATGAAGGGCCTTCTAGAAGCTACTATCACTCTTGTATGATATATGGTCTTATGGAACATATGGAATATGACAGAATAGCTCTGTCACTCAGCACAGCCGAGTTCCCCTGCCAGAAGAATGGGCTGGGAAGCATCCCAAATTAGTGCACTGGCACTGACAACTGTAAAGGGTGCCCAGTGAGTGAGAATGAACAGAATGCACCTGGCTGAGGCAGGTACCCTGATAACTGCCCATGTGCTGGATGGCTGGAAGCAACCCGAGGATACTGCCCTTTCACTGCAGCACAGAGCGGTGGGTCTTTGTGTATGACAAAACTCCCTGCAAGGAGTTCTTCCCAGGTCACTTCTGGGTTTTTATCTGCAAAGGAAGATGAGCAGATTTTAGTCCAGCTCTGCCAACTCTTCTGAATGGAAGAGGACAAAAACTACTGTGCTCTGCTGCACTGCTGTCCTGCTTAACTGTCTGCTCTAACTCCACAAATGTGCTGACAACTTTAATGGAAGCCTGCAAACAATTAACCAAATGCTTACCTTCTTCCTCAACATCGGAGATGAAAACCATGTTCGAGGCACAGGATGGGAAAAAAAAAAAAAAGGATAATATACCTTGTAAATCTCTGAGTATGCAAATTACTTCTTGGACCACAAAAGAAGCCATCAGCTGAGCAGAATTCAAGATTAAATAAAAAAGAAATAAAAAGACTACATCCAACTGTTTGCTGTGATGCTTCAGCTTCTTACAAGCTCGGGCTCTAAAAATGGGAAAGGACAAACTTTTGTCCAGGGAGGAGAGCAGAGCCATGAGGCAACAGTACTTCATGATGCAATGAGAACCAACTCATGGCTAGCAGATGCATCAAGTTTGGGAAAAACACCAAAACTCGTATTCCAGCTTAGTTAAATCATACTGGTTATATATCAGCAACTCTCAGACGGTGACTTTTTTAATAACAAGAATGCCAAAAGTGGAGTTAAGATTACAGTAATACAATTATACTTTTAGAAAGTTTCTAAGTTATACTCAAGCACGTGGCTGAGTCCCTGTTTTGATCTGTGATGTAGCAGGGCCATTTTTCCACAGATGACAAGAATTCAGTTTAGTTAGGCCTGCATATACCTCTTGGTACAAAAATGGCTGCACAGAAATTAAAAACAAGAACTGGAAAGTTGTTGCTTCTTGCAGGACTGTGGGTTGATCAAGAAGAAATTGGATCCAGATTTCTGTTTAAATTCTGGTGTTAATTATGTGGTGCAACTCCCTCTGAAATTAATGAAGCTGTGCATGTAAGAAAGGTACAATTGAGCTATTTCTGCTTCCTCTGTTATACACGAAGGTTTTCCCAGTCTACTATAGCACAGGGAATATTTAATTATTAGCGGGTGCAGTTATGTCAGCAACTACTACGGGGAACTCCAAAACTTTTAAGATGTTGAATAAAATTTTTAGGAAAACAGAAAATCCCTTTTACAGAAGGCATTTAGGTTGTTCAGGACTTTCAGTGAACATGGCAAAAAATTCAGCTTAAGTTTAACGTGAGAAACTTGGTGCCTCGTTGAACATTTAACATCAAACCTTCAAATACGCCTTGTAGGAGTAGTTTGACTGCCAAACTGTTCATACAAAACACTCAGCACAGAACATCAGCACTCACCTAATCGTAGCCATACTGTACAGGAGTGAAACAGTTCATTTTCTCTTATCATTTGTTGTTTGATAACACTGTACTAAAAGAAAACATCATGTAGGCCAAGCAGAAAATGACAAAAACAATTCAAACAATTAAATGAGTTTAGCCAGCATACAAACGCTTCAGAGAAAAGATTCTCAATATATTTTAGAGAAGAAGCCTGAACAGATACGCTAGGTTCACACCCTGCTAAAATTTTAAAATCTATCATCTTATTTTCATTGCACATCCAGTTTAGTCTCATGTGGATATTTTCAGCGTATAGTGTAGATCACGCTTTTATTATTCAAACAGTTTCACTACATTAAAGCTGAGATTCAGCATTACTTATGAAGTATTTCTGTTGCCTTTCAATAGACATTTTTAATATCTGTTACCGTTTTTCCAAAGGAAAAAAGCAAAGACTTATCAAGATGAAATATCATCCTTCCTTTGATAAATTATTTGAGTTCTGAAAAGAGCTTACTAAGTCTGAGGTTTTTAAATTGTGAGTCACGTTTGTGGTTATTTAGTTCTTTGCTTTAATTTCCTGATTCGACCATATTAACAGAGATTAATAATTATGCAATTACGCTTTTTAGTGAAAAGAAGCACTTTGCATAGCATGAAAAACATTTTGAGAACTGCTCAACACCGAGTGTCTTTCCAAATGCTCTCTAACCTTTCAGTAGTGTCTCAGGCTTATCCAAAGCCACTGAGGCAAATGGGAATGTTTCTGATGTCTTTACTGGGACTCGGATCTGACCCAAACCTAACAGGTATTACAGTTCAGCCATAAAATTTGTCAGAGTCCAACTATTGTATGAGCTTGTCTTCAGGAATTAACATGTTTTTTCTTTCCCCCAAGTGCCCGTATCGAACAGGAGATACAACCAAGATGCTCTCTCTGACAACTTTACAAGTTGCACAGCACCTATGCCAGGCAGCAGATACAAAGAAGAGATTTATGATTCCAGCATCATGAAACCCAACAAAATAGAAAACAGGATTCAGCCACCTCACCATCTCATTAAAGAAGAAAACAAGCTAGCTTTTAACAGAGACCTACAAGAAAAAATGAGCATTAATGAAAGCTCTTTTTCAAACTCAGTTGCTAACTCTTTGCTGCCAAAATCAGAATGTTTCCAATCTAAAGCTTTAGGACAATTAAGTCATCTCCTACCTGTGCCCGCAGTGTATGAACAAACAAGACGGATTTGTATGAAGGAACCCAAATATGGGCATATTAGTCACCATGCTACAAGCCTAAATGAACTGGACAGTGATGAGAGAATGACTGTGAAGCTTGATCACGACTCTGAGAGTGAGCGTGTGATGGATGTAAGACCCTCTGGACAAGTTCCATTTGTGCTTCTAAATTATCATCATGTTTTAGCCAAACATGGCACATTTCAAACTTCATCATGTACAGCAACGGGACACGTAGGAGAAAATTATGGATACAATTCTGAGGAAGTAAATACGTTTATGTACAAAAACCAAAGCCCCTCATCAGCCTCTTCTCCAGAAACCCACAAGGAAACGACACTACCCCATTATATTGGAACTTCTGTAATAATAGCCAATGGAAGGTGACAGTAGTAAAAGAGTATTTACATTTAACTAAGAAGCCAAACAGTAATGATTTCCAAAAAGCATGAGAAAACATAGTTACATTTACTGAGCACAGCTGAAGGTCAATGAGGGACAGACTTGTGTGTTCCTGGCAAGACATGTGTGACAGTACCTTCCAGGCGAGGAAAAAAGAATACATCTCGCTTCAGTGCTTTGTTGGCAAAGCTTAAGCTCTGGTGCCAGTGAGAAGATTTGTTGCAGATCTTATTTTTGTTATTTTATAGTGTGCAACAAAATTAAATGATAGGTGTTATATGCAGAGGTTTATATGAAGAACAATTTTTCCCTTAATCCTTCCTTCTCAAAACACATTCAAGATATTATTATTTTCTTTTTGTTATCATTATCATAAACTGTACACTCTAGATTAGGTATTTTTGACAAAGTGTGAAACCCTACATCAGCTACCCGCCCATCTGTTACACGTCCTGACAAATGAACTTTGTTTAAAGAGTGGTGATTTTTAGTATCTGTAATACAGTTGTACTAACCAAACATAATTAAGTTTGGAACATGCTTATTTATTACTTATCACACATTTTTTTCAGTATTCAGAAATTTTTACTGCCACCATTAATCTTAACAAGTGATGGTATTGTGACAAATTCATACATAAAAAGGTATGTATTTAAAAGGTTACAGGTCTTGTCATGGTGAATTGGCACAAATCACACAGCAGGAGCTAAAGATATTCCTCAATAAAAACAGTATAATAAGAAAAAGAAACTTCTAAAAAGTGTATTTTGCTCAATATTTTGGGATAAGGACTTGTTGTTATTCAAACCAGGTAGTCAAAATAACATCTTAATCTTAGCACAAGAAATGTTCTCTTTATTGTCAAGGGAATAATGAACATTTAAGCATGATTTTAAAATTATTTGTAGCCTTCTGAATTTGAAAAAGTTCAGCTTTTAACACACTGGACTTCATTAAGCATAAATCTCATTGTCAACACGAAGGTAAGATTCATTATTTGACTGATAGATGCACTTCACAAATTATGTCAATGGACAATCTCAGTAAGAAAAGTCTGAAGTCATTGCACAACCACAAGATGCAAGATTGCACTGGAAGTAGAGCAGGATACCTCAGTGTTTTGAAGTGAACACTTTGCACATGTCTCAGTTAGTCCAATAAACTAGCAAGTAGAAGGCATATGCCATACATTTGAATTTTGTCCAGCCTACTAAGAATAGATTTCCCCTTTTTTCACTTCTCCATAATGTTTGCAAACCAGGAAATAAGGAGACGTATAGGATCTGTGAATGTTTTACTGATGAGTCTGTCCAGTTTGTCTTTCCATTGCTTCCCCAAACAGTCTTCATGTGCTTTGGACAAAACAATGAACACTCCCCACGTAATAGATGTAAATACCAACACTTAAGGCTGTTGTAGTTCTGAGCCAGCTGTATTTAGCCCCATTTGTTCACCCAATTCAAGTTTACATTTTAGAAGCTTTCTCCCTCTTATCAGATGCTCTAGAAAGAGACCTTTGCTAAAGAAAATGCTTACCTGGCTTGTGTAATATGGAAAAATACTTGCTCATGGATTGCACCTTGTCAGAGGAAAATGTAATGAAATACACACTCTCTTAATTACACGCCCTCCATCTTCTACGTGCAGCAAAAATAATCAGTCACCTCTTTGTATGTATGAATATTTATTGCTATGAGTAAACAAAAATACTTCTAACACATCTGAAAATAATTTTCAGTATTTTTATTGCTTTTGATTAAAAGTTTAACAGAGAAAGCTTTGTTATGAAATTGAATTCATGTTCGCTTGGAAACTCAGTCGTCTGACTTCATTTACTAAAAAACATATGAAAGATATCTTTCATGATAAATATGATCAGAAGTACCGGATCTGACTTTTTAGCAACAACATAAAATGAGCGAAACCAAACCAACACCTTCAGTTTAATTGCACTCCTTCGTTCTTCTCGAGCTGGAGAATGTGGCAAAGCTATAGAAATGTTATGTGTGAATGTTATTATCATTCTGATGTTATGAATTGCCGAGACATGAGCTGGCTTTATAGTGGCTTTCTTTAACGGCCTTCCCAGCCAGTGTTCCTAATGAACGCAACCAACTTCTTAAAAGGTACGATGATGCTAAGACCTGTATGTTAATTTTCTCAAATTAAAGCCATGCCCTATTAAGGAGAAACTGACATTGCATCATTAAAAAGAAACCTGATGCACAACTGCTTCATACTGCACGTCTCCCAATACCTCATTAGTGGCATTGCTGCACACAAAGTCAATCTGCTGTATTTTCCTGTTCTTCTAACTATTTCTCATTACAAAAACATGTTTTCAGGAACATATAAATTACGCTTCAGTCAAGAAACCTCCACTGATATTTTTCATTAAAATACCACAAAATATTTTTCCAGCCTCTACCTTGTTATTCACACTTTCAGGCTTTATTCAACAATCTCAAGTAAAGGAGGTGTTCCATCACCCTCCCACAGAAGTTTTACAGTATATGAGATTCAGATACATGAATTTCCCTGTTAGGAAATAACGACTCAATTACGCATTCACATCTGATAATGCATTGTAGATTTAAGAAAAGATCTGTGATTAAAAAAGCAAATGTGTGAAACATTTTTCCTGCCATTCAAAACTAGAAACAGCAATTGCATATTCACAGCTGGAATGTGAGCAAATTACATTGAGAGAAAAACACGAGTTCAGACACTGACTTTCAGTCAGTTAAACTACAGATGTTCACAGTACGTTAATGCTGCAGAATGCGATGTGGCCAATGAGAGTGGCAATGCTCCCAGCAATTGGAAAAAATTATCACACAGAAGTGGAGTGGGAATAGGACTACATTACAAAAAGTGCCCAAATTTCTTTCAACTGTACATATGTGAGCTAATATAGATACTTCTATCAGAGATGCCTCTTTCGTGCAACGTGACAGGATTGTACATCTCGGGGGAGGGCAGGGCTATAGCAAGTACATGTGGAATGGAAGAGAGAGAGTTGAGAGAGGGAATATCTTACCAAACCCTAAAGTTGAAAACATGGCTCCCATATTGATGTCTCAAAAGTTTTTCTCCTATTCATGGAAACTGTGCAGTGTAAATAAGGTGGTATGGAAACAGACTTCTCTCCTGGTGACAGCAGTTAGGTCATTTCTAAAGGGCATTTCAGTAATTTAACGAAATTGAGTACATTGGGTTAAAGTTGTAAAATTTGAGCATATCTCACTGTGATAAAGCAGAAAGGCTGCTTTTCTGAAGGATACCTCCCAGAATATCAGTACTTGCCTCTAAAAACCACAAAACATAGCACAAAGGATTTTCTCAACATTTCAGTCATACTTCAAAATTAACACAGAGATAGTATTACTATGTCATTTTTTTTTTTTTTCCTGAACATTAGGTTTTGCTTTTTTTATATAATGCAGATATGAGCTATTTGGCAAATGTAGGAGAAAAAGCACGCAAACCAAACAATCTATTAATGCTCAAAATTATATATGTATTCCCTAAAAATGTAAAGCATTTTTGCTTATTTATTATGTAAAACAAAACTGTTAAAATGATAATAAAGTCCTGTAGCCAAAGGAAAAATGAGTTTGATTTCTTTTTCACCACAAAACACAGGGCTTCACATTGTATATTGGAAAATTTATTTCAATTCAACATTTAATTTGACTCTTAATGTCTTACAAAATACAAGGATTTGTATCCCATTTAAGCTACATTGCATTCTAAAGGAAGAGTCTTGGAGAACTGAAAATAACACAGAATAGCTAACGAAACACTCTAATGCAAGATATTCAAATGCAGCATCAGTTCACAATTCTTCCCTGCAGTTCTCTTAATCAATTGATTGCTACAAGATGACAGTCGGCTGCATGCCACTGTTTTTTGACCTCTGTTCTTACCTCAGTCCAGATTTAATTTCTTTGCTGTCTGATCAGTGCTGTGCATCACTGCCACATCTCATGCATGCAGATGGCTTTATCAGAGCATTTCCCCCCAGGAATCCATCAGCTGTTGGCAGCACAAATCTTTGCCATGACAGCTATTAAGCTGTACTTCAGAAAACATTTATAGCAATTATCTGTTCCAAAGCAGTTGCAGAGAGTAATTTTTTTAGACTTGTGAAGTCTTGTAGCTGCATCAGAAAAAGTAGAGAAATTAAACAAAGTTGAGCAATAGAATAGCAGCATAAAGAATTAAATACTCCAATATTATTTCTAGATAATAGCCCTTGAAGTTTATATGATATTTCCTGAACAGATTTTTAAAAAGCTCTGAAATCTTATAAAACCTTTAATAGAAGTGAGATGCACTTCTTGAACTGTTACATGTTAAGTATGTTATTCTTTTTCAAACCTTTGGAAACAGCATTGGTCCTGCAGGGACGCAACCCACGTATTCGTTCTGAATGCAGACAGGTGCCAACACACCCAGCTCGCCCTGCAAAAAGACTCCCTGCTGACAAACAACCTCTACAGATATTTTCACAATGTGTGATGAGAACATGTGTAACAATCTGAGAGGAAAAAAAAAAAGGAAGTCACAGAAATACAGACAGTGATTAATGTTCTATGAAAGCACTTCATCAAGATATGGCATCAACCTCACACGGACGAAATGTTCCACATTTTAATAAAATTGAACAGTTTCAGTGCATTACTTCCGAGTCCAGAGATGCCCTAGTCTCTCCATACCCACGTTCTGAGACCACACGACACCACATTTGTCTGTCTTATGTAAAGAACAATACTAAAAATGATTTTCATAGAAAAACATTGTGGTTTTCAGAATGCAACAAGTTTGCCATAATAAGAGTACAATCAGTGGCTGTGATTCCTAGATATTCCCTAGGGATGAGTGTGGTATAGGAAGGTTCATGGGCTTTCCTGACAGTAGCAGCTGCTAGTCAGAATGACCTTATTCCAATGCTCTCTGTAAGCAGCATGCATTTTCTTTGTGAAGTTCTTTGATTTTTCTGAAAGAAAGGTCAGGTCTGTAACAAACACCTCATTCAACTCAAGGCCATTTGCCCAAGACAGCAGGTAGCTGCAGACATGCATGAAGAGGCCACTAAAAAATAGAGGCAAAGTAATATCCCCACATCACCTACCAATGCTCTGACAAATCCACAGCTGATAATTCTCACTTTCAGAAAGGAAGTTCAATGCTAAGTTTCTTCCCAAACTTGTTTTGGAATAATCTTAAAACACAAAGCAAGAATAAAACATGTGTTTCATTGCAAAGAACATTAAGAAAGCCAGATAGGAATAATAGCAATTATTACATTGCAGCAATTTAGTATTGAAAATACATCTGCTTTCTGCTCAGCACTTGCTTAGCTAAGAAGTTTTGCAAGTACTCCATTCTGCCCTTCCTCCAGGAACATGCTTTATCTTTTTCCCCATTGTTCTTTCAGTCCCTGCACCTAGAGTAAGGAAGAGCACGCTGTAAAGAAGTAATGCATGGCATTTAAAGTAAACTCTACAGCATTCATCACTCTATCTGAAATAGAAGCGGTATCAACTATGTTTCTAATTGGCAAACTCTACTGTAACAAAACAGACACTTTGAGAACTACAGATCTAAAGTTTTTAAAAATTCTATGGTCAAAAACTAGTAACAGAACTATGCTTTCCACAGCTAGAAAGGAAAAGGTAGAATTAGAAGTGAAAACACACACAGAAGTTGTGCGTATACACACTCGCGCACATATTACACGTGTATATA